AGATAGATGTATAGATAGATGTATAGATAGATAGATAGACGTATAGATAGATAGACGTATAGATAGATAGATAGATGGATGGATGGATGGATGGATAGATGGATGGATGGATATATGGATAGAATGATAGAACTCTTACTAACGCTCTGAATGTTGAGGTACTCTTTCTCTGAGCGTCACGGTTCATAAAGCCACTCAGTTGTAAATTATTAAATCACAGCCAAACACGCTCTCCTCATTTGGTGTCGTTGGACTCCAGCTTATCACCGAGCTGCAGCTGCTGTGAGTAGAAACAATCCGAAGCTTTTTTTATTTCATTTATTCAGTTATTTGTTTCGCAACATGGCATGCATCCATGTGAGGTTTTTTTTTCTTTTTTCCGCCAACACTGCATCTCGGCTGCAGCTCTGCAAACTTCAGAGTTTCTGCTGACCTGCACATTTGTTTAGTCCTTTCACCGTAATTACATGTTGTGTGGTCTGACATGTTCTTCTCTCGTCTCATTCCAGACCAATGTTTCCATTTTGGTTTGTGAGAGAGAGAGAGAGAGAGTAGATGAGTGAGTATGACATAATGTCTTTAGTGTGAACACTGCAGTAAGGATAAGGTGTCTTTGTATGTGTGTAAATTTGATGGAGTCAGCAGTTTGTAATGCAGGTAGCCCACGGATCATTGACTTTGGTTGCAGCACATTGCAGAGGGACAAACAGCGCTGCACCTCCACTGAAGGGCCACAAGACGTCCCCCTCCTCCACCAAACAGCCCTCCAAGTTTGATCGCTTCACTTCCTGTCAGATTTGATCGTCTGCCTCGCTCTGATTGGTTTCCCCTGTTTCTCGTTAGACCTCCTCCCCACTTCCCCATTAGTCGGTCACTATTAAGAAGTAGTTTAATCAGATCTGATAGTTTATTGCTCTTACGCTGCGATTCGTGCCAAGTGGGGTCTAAAACAGCTTGCTAAACAGAACTTTGTCACTGGCGTGAATCTTTTTACGTTCAATCACGGGAATTATGGTGTATAGAAAGTGTTGAGTCATAATTCTCGCAGTACCTTGGTTGAGGAAGGTCCTCAGCCTTCTTTGTTATGCTGTCACTCATGATTACCCGCCCCTCTCAGTTGATGCCACGCCCCCCTCCCCCCCAGATCAAAGCCATTTGAATCTGTAAAAAAACAAGTTAAATATCAAAAAATATATATGAAAGTGAAAAATGATTCCAGAACTGAATCAAAGGGTTATATTTAACCCCCAAAACTGTTTCTTCACTTATTTTTTGTTTGAATACAGTGTTGTATTTTCCAAAGTTCAAGACCAAAACTTTTAACTTCTTTTTTTTTCAAGTGATGGATTTGGCTCCATTATTATCATTCTCTTATTTCCTGACATAGATTAGTCCCAAACAGT